GTTTTGTTTGTCATTGAAGGACAGTTACATAGTCGGTATGTTTGTGAAAAAAATAAAGACTCTCCAGTTGGTATGAAGGGATGGCTAGATCTCATGGGTCTTCATTTGGAGAAGTGATAGGCAAGTGGAGGGATCACTCTCCTTAATAAATGAGGTCTGAATTTGATAAATTGATATAAATGAAAAACACAGATATTAGACTGTCGCGTGCATATCAATGACGAGAATTTGTGAACTCATGGTTAGAAACAACATTCAAGTAAGTATTGCAGTTGCACATCCAGGTTTTTTTCATGGTTTATGGTATTCATATTTTTAGATTATTCTATATTTCAAATACATGCATGCAAATACAGGCAAAAGTGGTCTTCCTGGTGTTATTTTCATCTGTCGACACATTTTTCAACTTTGACATGAGTCTATTGGGCTTTAACACACTAAGGAAAGTGCTGGGGGGGGGGGTTATACACAAATGGCTAATTTACATAACTCTGCGATAATGTTGTTAATCCAAATTTAAGAATGAGGACACAAATATTTATCTGAAATTAACATGATTTCGAGGAGATTATCACAACTAACATTTCATCTTTTCAGTCAAGGCTGTGGCAATGTACAATCTTAAAAAAATTAAAGAAAAGCTTAGAAAGAACTCCCATGTGCTGAGGGTATTGGAGGAATGCAATACAAATAAGGGATACTGTATTACACATAATATACACAGTACACATACAAAAATTGCATTTATTGCATGCAAAATGTGCCTTATTTTGACCACAGCCTGTGCTGCATCATTCAATGCCTTCATCATAGCATGTCCTTATCTGCAGCAATGCTTAATATATTAGTTATGCATATTAATTAGGTCACATGACCATATATGGGCATCTGATTTGTTGCCATCTCTAGTCCGATGCCTTCAATATTGTGGGAAAAATGCATAACCCTGAATGCAACAGTGCCTGAGATATTAGTTATGCATGTGAATAAGGTCACATGACCCAATTTATACAAAGTAGGTAATTAATATGCAAGGATTTCACAACACTGAAGTAATCAGATCTGTTGACTACCAAAAGCACCAAGTTTTGAATGATGAGTGGTATTATAGATATCCATGAAACACCTATAAATTTACTATTTTGTTTATGCAAATTATTAAAATTAGGTAATTATTATGCAAATTGAATAAATTAATATGCATGAATTTCAACTAAAAACTAAAACTGCTATCCAGTAAAAAATGCATGAACACGCTGAAGAACGGTGGGTGAATCAATGGAATTTGGTGAGAATCGAGTGACACTGACATTAAATGTTAAAGGTCGACTTTGTTGTTGACTGCCATACCTTCCTTGAAGTTGTTCTCTCAGACGATAATTTTTTTTTAATGTTTTTTGATGATGTATGTGACATATTTGAGAAATTTCGTTAATATTAGCAAATAAAATACAAACCTAAATATCGAATGGCAAATGATATTAATTGCCTAAAAATCCACAAAATTAAAATGTTTAGGGCTGTCTGCGAGAATTATATCATCATATTCAGTACTCCAGAAATATCAAAGAACCTAAAAATGTATATTAAAGTCCAATATTAAAAATAGAATAAAATAAAATAAAATAAATAAAAAAGATACATCTTTGACAAAAACATCAAAGAGTCTAAAGAAGTATTTTAGTGTCCAGTTTTAAAAATAAAATATAAATAAAAAAAGATATTCTTTTAATTAAAATACTTTCTGGAAATTGCTAAAATCAGAGTGGATTCAAGGCACACGATGACAAACCCAAAAACAAATCTGTTTTGGTGTAAAGGACATTGACAGAGAGATATATTATCCCAAGAAAAATAGAAATTGGTTCAATTCAACAGTTAGTAGCACAGTTTTACTGAAATCGAAGTACTATTCATAGCTTGAAACAACTTATTCACTTCAAAAGCATTGATCTCCTGTCAATGCATCTAAAAGATAAACATCATGGACTTAACGCTGTGTGAATAAAAACGATGACAATAGATTTGATAAAAAGCATATCTGGCAGAATGCGATTAAAAATGTACACTTCCCCACAGTCGACAATCAAAAAGACCATATGCTGAAGAGCAAATAAAAATACTGATGAAATTGGCGAAAATCAAGTCTGGCAGCTGTGTGAATGAGATGCAAACTCGTACTTATCTCCACAATCATGTCCGCATATATTACACTGAAACGGTTTATCATATCCGTGAAACCCCCTGTGGATTGTGAAGAGTACGTTATCGGGAAACAAGATATCGCAATGCTGACAACGAAATACTTTCTTTTCATTCAGCATTGATACAATATCCTGCGTAGTCAACGAGGTTTGTGTGGCGGTGGAAAACTTCTGTGTTGAGGTCGCTGACACTTCAGAGGATGTGGGTGTTGCAGAGCGTGCTGTGTGGCGGTTGTGACGGTGTAACGATATCGGAAAGGGATCTCGTTGAATTCTGTCTTGCGAAGAAGATTCATCATTTGGATTTGCGGGTGACTCAGTTTCCATCAAAACGTCATCAGCAGCGTTAACATCATTCGTTGAAGTGCTAGCAATTGGACTTAATACATCAACTGTTCCACTGGCAGAAATAGTTGGCCGAGATGGCGTAGAGGTCGTTGACGGATTCACAAAACAGTCAAAGTCAGAGAAATAGTTAGACATAGGTGCAGGAGCGGTGGTTGTAGAGTTACTCAGGTTTTCCGAGCTAACCGCACATGTACTTGAAACAGCCAACAAAGGCGGAAGCATATTCCCTATTGAAGTGCTGTAGGTAACACTTGTACCTGCATTGGAATAGAGATGGCTATTCCCACTGACTGTGCTTTCAGTTTGAGATGAATTGGGGTCAACCACTGCAATATCAGCGTGGAAATCTCTCAAATGACGAATGAAGACGTCTTCTAGCACGCACTGAAACTGACACAAATTACAATGAATTTTTTCAATACACGTGTTGTGTTTCTGTTTCATGTGCACATTTAGAGTATTTGACTGAGTAGCCGCATATGGGCAAAGCTTACACTTGTACGGTTTCTTTCCGAGATGGCGACGCTCATGAATAAGCCGATTAGTTGGATAAGCCGTGCTGTAATCACAATAACGGCATTTGAACTTTTTTTCTTTCGCGTGTGTTCGCATATGGCCATACAGACTCCTGAGATTTTGTCCTTTGAAGCTGCATTTGTTACAAGAAAAGTCGTCTTTTCCATAATTCCCTGAATTGTTTTCACCTTGATTGGCGGAAGCACTGTCTAAAGAAACCGACTGCGCAGTGTACAGATTAGTTATTTCGGTACTCGTATACTGCGAATCACTATGCCTACCGCTTCCACTCGCTTCACCTTCAATCTTAATATCCATAGCATCATTATTTATGCTTATCTCAGGGACACCATTATCAATGACTACAGTATATGGCTCTCTCGTTGCTGACTGATTTGACCCAATGCCACTCACAGTTTCTGTCAGTCCATTCGGAAGCTCACTTAAACTATCACCAGCGTGTTTAACAACATGTTTAGTGTACCTTGGTTCACTGTCGCAGCAAAACTCGCAATGCGGGCACTTATAAATACACTGCTCGCGATGGTGCGCTAACACATGCTTGTGAAGCGTGGTCGACTGTACAGTGGCATAATCACAGTACTTGCATTCATATGGCTTTTTGTTGAGATGCATACGTCGCTCATGAACCATTCGATTTCCAGCATACTTTGAGATATAGTTGCAATATCGACATTTGTAGATTTTGTCACCTTTGTGGTTCTCCAGATGACTCTCATAGAAAGACATATTATTTGTCGTATAGGGACATCTAGTACAGCATAAAACCTCCATGATATTCCAATTGCATGCAGTCAACAGAATATCTTAACTGTAAAAAAAAAAAAAAAGTCATTGTTTGTTATACAAAAACACCCAAATATTAACTAATCATTCTCTATATTTTACTGAGCATGTAACCATAGCAATGTAGACATCTCCAGAAAGCTGGAATAAAGAAATATGAGAATGGGTAGATATGGCTGAATATAATGAAACATAATGTTTGAATGGTCATCTTCAAATTACAACTTTGGACTAGCCCTGTTCATCGATAGTTCTGAATCACGGTTAATTTTGCAGGCAATGTTTCTCAGTGGTGGACCACCTTACATCCACCTATTGTATTCTATGTTGTCTAGACAATAGATTCATATGTGAGATTTGCCAAGACAACCCTTTATTACACCTGTGGGCAACTTTCACAACTACTGGGGGTAATCTGTATCAACGAGTAACTGGAGTGTAATGAAAACTGCCTTGACTTGAACACAGTGAGTGAACAAAACCATTCTCAAATGCGATATATAGAGAATAGATTCAATTTAAACCAAATTTTGTGCAAAGCTATTGCTTGAAATATTAAAATGATAAATTTAACAAATAAATAAAATGATTCTGATTTCAAATAAAAACCATTGGGTTTATAATAACGTATATTATATATAACGTATAAGATTTGCTATTGAAACAGGTAGACACACTCAACCCAAAACTCCAATTGATAATAGAACTTGCATAAACTGTCCTCAAAATGAAACTGAAGATAAATTACATTTCTTCATGGATTGTCATCTCTACAACAATTATCGAGACGAAATGAAGGAAAATATTGAACTCTCTAAAAAAATAGATAATAAACAAAAAACATTTATATATCTGATGAGCATAAATAACCAAAATATAATTAAACAAGTTGGGAAGTATATTTACAGATCTTTTGAAATCAGAAACGAAAATTCTTTATAAACTCATTACAAGGCACTTTCATTTACTTTTATCTTATCATTAACTAACTCGACTTCCTTTTATTACTTTATTGCTGTAGACTGATAGAAAGATTGTATTTGTAAGGATGCAATAAAGATTATTATTATTGTATCACAGTGCCTCTATTGAATGATGTGCTCTTTCGTCAATGGTCTATCATTAGCTATATGGACCGAGATAAGAACAGCGGCACACAATTAGCACACGGCGAACTGGTTCGAAAAACGTGGCCTCCGAAGCTACCTACATTACGGCTAGACAACTATTTACACTGCAACACCGACAACAGCTGCTTTTCCATATACGCGCCATCGAACACAGCATAGCAACATCACTTCAGTATTACAGAACCAGGCAAAAGTGTTAGGAGCATACCATGAAATGTAAATTTTCGACAAGGACGCAATTAAGGGTTCAAAAGATGACCCCTCCCCAATCTACAGATATGTGCAGTCAGATTAGTGTGAAAGACTGTCATAAACTCAGTCAATGGTCAAGTTGGGGCCGTGTCTTGAAGATTGGGTCTGATTGCACAGATCGCGATCAATGGCCACGATGTATTATGTCAGTCAACAGCACAAGTTCGTTAACTGAAATTAACAATATATCAATCTGGGTAAAACTATCACTGGCTCATACTCACCGCGTTTTTTTCTGTACGACAAAGACGAACACAAAATCACAGTGGAGTAAAAATAGCACAAACAACGAAATGGTGAAATTAGTTAGTTTGCTTCTCAGTTCCTCCACAGTAGAAAGTGCAAATGTTTTATTTTCGCATTTGATAACACACTGTTTATTAAAAACTCATTTGGTCATTACAAATGATTTCCACGCAGCACACTTCAAACTTTCACAACATAAACATTAGGTAGCTGAAACTGAGCCAGACTAATTAATCAAATTAATGAGCGCCCTCCAGTGGCAACAAAGGTTTTGAATTGTGTACAGTTCATGAGACATCAACAGAATCCTGAAAATAATTAAATGTTTAGACTCTTCTATTAAAATTAAAGTCATGCTGAGTGAAGAATCTTGCGAGGCATAACCTTCAATACAGTCTACAGGTTCAGTGCTTCAATATTTCAGGATTTTTATGGTGATTCCAATAATCAGTGGGATGTATTCTGCATTTTTTTGAAATTCAGGAGTGATATTCATGTTGTATTGTTATGTTAGAAATTCTTCATCCTGCTGAAGTTGAATATTTTAATTGAATTTCTAGGTTGTAATCGAATGTCTATGTATGACTATTTCAATTTTATCATGCTATGGATAAATCTACATCAACTTCTAGTGAATCAATACTGTTCGTTGTAAATAACGTCACTAAACTTTGTAGATGTACATCATGTGATTGATGTGATTTCGATAAACAAATGAGTTAGCAAAAACTGAAATACCAACGTATTAATAACTGTTTCAAAATCAAAAGATTTCACTGTCTGTCTTGGAAACAAGACTTCTTCTGTTTTTGAGACAACTAAGGGAGTAAAACAAGGCTGTGTAATCAGCCCTATGCTTTTTAACATCTATATTAATGACTTAAATGATGTATTACAGGATAGTTCAATAGACCATGTTTCACTATTAAAATGACACTAAAATTAGCTCACTCTTCTATGCAGATGACCTAATTTTACTTTCCACAACAAACACTGGTCTTCAAAAAGACTATTGTTCTAATTGGAAACTTAGTGTCAATTTAACATAAAAAACATTGTTATTTTCAGAAAAACAGGTTTAAAAACACATGATAAATTCCTATATCTTGGAAATCATATCAACTGTGTTAACTCCTATAATTACTTAGGTGTTACAATGCAGTCCAATGGGAAATTTACTGAAGCCAGACAAAACATGGCAGATAAAGCCAACAGAGCCTTATATGCAATGTTAAGACACATTCCACCTGAATGCAACTGTAAAACATTTATCTATCTGTTCAGAACATGTATTCTTCCAGTACTCATTTATGGTTCAGAAATTTGGGGAATTGAAGTTTTGGATGAAAACAAATGGGACAAAACTACAAGTGAAAAACTACATTTGAAATTCTGTAGAAATATTCTAGGCCTGAATAAATTTGGTGCAAATTTAGCTTGTAGGGCAGAGTTGGGCTGTCTGCTGAACCTTAACACCTAAAATCAGACCAATCAGAGAGCAGCTTGTTTCTTCACAGTTTATTCTTCAATGCATCAAATTCTACCAGATATTTAATTTTTTGACTTAACTGCAATAGCGCGCCGAAGTCTTGATATCACAATTATAAAGTATTCTGACTCTAAAATGTTGTTTTAAGGGGTTGACCATTAGAAACTCCAGATATGGGATAGGAAGCTGATGAAAGAAACACTGGGCAAAACATTTTTTTCTTCTTCACTTCAAAGTCAATATTTGTGTAAAAACATCAATTTACCTTTCAAGATTACCAAGGTAATAACATTGTATTTTTCTTCCTAATGTTCCTGATCCCTCCGAACACCCTACCTAGCTTTTAACGGTTAACAGGCCCCAAGTCTTGTATCTAACTCCCCACCACAAACTGCCACATATCTTGAAACTCATTCTGGACAGCATTGTGGCAGTCATGAATTTAACCCTATTACTACAAGGGACTTTTATCTGTGCTCCTTCCAGGGTGCAATTGTATTCACCGACATCTTTGAAATAGTAAACAAAGCTCTTACAAATCAACTGCCACCTGCAACTTCTATAAAATAATCTCATTCCAACCAGTAGTTGCCATTGAAACCAATCAGTGTGCCCTTATTAAGTTCTCAAAATTGAACTTTGTAATCGTTTTGAACAGAAGCAATTTGGTTGAATGACAATGGATGGGTTAACAACCCCCCCCCCCCCTTAGGAAACCTTTGTAAATTTAGTAATATTACAATTTGTCCAAAGACAAACAAATTCATTACCTGCATTATAGTAAACAATTTCAAGATTTACCGGTAATTTCACTCTTATGAATTTTCTTGGGTTCTTATTTACTAATTGTACAGGGAAGACAGTTCTTGTAATTTCACACATGAAATTAATTTTGTGATAATAATAGTGATAATCTGAATAATTCATGCCTTCACAGTACCCGACACAACTGCATCTTGTTCATTTGCCATTCATGGGGGTTCAATGCTGTAGACACAAATGTGTGTACTATAGTCGCAGCATGACAAACATGCTTCATCTCGTGAGTATAGTACACACAACTTACAGGCTGGGAATCAAAAGACAAAACGCAAAGACATGAATTTACTCTGTGGCTTTTTATTTGGTTTTAATGATTGAGTACTAATAAATTGTACAGTCACAGTCCATTGCAATTGTTTAGTTTATTATTACACATTCTTCTGTCCAGCTCGTGGTGCCCCGCCAGGCTGAAATATAAAATTAAAGCACATTAGAAACAATTATGAACATTTCAAAATTCCTAGAGGCATGTTGAAAATCAATGTGAAATATTTACTAGCTCAGAGATACAGTTTAACAGAAAAAACATTGTTCGGAAAATAGGAATTTGTTAGCTCAGTATATACAATAAACCATTATTCAAAATCAATGTTTCAGACAATTTGCAATTACAGTACCCACACAAAATTTCAATCAATCCTATTTGGTCTCAAAGGCTGCATATTTAAATTACTATGTAGAAAGTTTCATGTTCAAAGATGGAAATCATTTATTTTCAGTTATTGGCAAAAAAAAAGCAGGTTTCAGCTTTAATGCACGAGAACTATATAAAGTTCTATTCGGAGTGAGAAAAAATTAAATTTTGGGTACAACATAAGGGGGACGTATAAACGACAACTAAATTATGTTGCACAGCATGCAAACATCGGCAGCCAGCACACTTTTGATAAAAGCACTTATTTCTACATACCGTTGGTCGGAACCTTGGTGGTGGTGTACGATCTTTTCTAGCTTCTTTCGACCTGTTTCTGACAACTTTTGAATGAATAGCACAACTGACACAGTAGTGTAGTTTGGCATAAAGTTTAGGTAGAGCATAGACTGAAAAAGACAACAAAATATTCTATTAAATGTATTGCATAGCACAATGAATGATTAAAAATTGGATGACATAAATAAAAATGTTCCAGAAAAGGCGATATTTTCCCAAAACAATGTCAAACTTTAAAGTTAAATTACTGAACTATAATAGAGGGCATTTGAAAAGGGGGTGGGCCTGGATCTATGTAGTTTACATTTGGTCAACAGCTGCAATATGGGGTGGAACACACAAGACAGAATAGAATACACAGAATGTGCATGTGTAAACCAGCATCTAACCTAACTTGAGATTCCTGGTAGGAAATTTGTGTCAAACTCAGTGTTATTAGGATTTTTATGAATCAATCGCAGTTTCTGTAGTTACTGGTTTGTTTTTTTGGCATTGGTGTAAAATGAGGGTCCATATTAATTCTCTTGAAAATACAATTTTCATGATATAAATTGTACATACCAAATAATTTCTTGATGAACAAACTTCACAGTGACCTCAATAATTTGAAAAAAAACATCAACCTCATTGTCATCATTTGCAATCAACGATAAAGTTAGTTCGGTAATGCAATTTTATTGATAAATAGTTGACATTGTACCATATTTGTCCCATGTAAAGTTTGTTCATCAATAAAGTATTTAGGATGTACCGATTTTTTGGAGAGATAACTACGAATCCCTATTCTACATAAACACTGGTTTTTGTTCAACCAATTTGGTCCAAAACGGCGGGCTGTGTACACCTCATTTTGTATTTTTTTTAGATAGGTTTCAGCCTAAGTGTCCTCCCCCAACGTCAAGGAGCCTAGAATTTTTTTGAATAGGCCATTTTTGTACTCGTTTGGTTGTATGACATACTCACAAAACATTCTAATTTCTAAATAAAAAGAAAAGAATGAACAAAAGTGTGGACCAAACACGAAATATATACACGTTACCTACCCTCATATACACTAGCGTCCGATATATCTCTGACAGCAGCACTCTCAACTATGTTTCTGATGACGAATTTTTTTATGGCCTTGTCTTTCGGGACACACCGTGCACAGTTGGTACAACGAACAGGCTTGACATGACCACGTCCCTTCTTATTACGCCCGTTATTACGTCTCTTTTGCGTCTGCAGACGAAAACAAATTATTTTGATTGGTATTAAAACAAACACTACTGAAAATGTTCCTAAAGTTGCAACGCCCGGTTTCATCTCATGGGCGCCGCCATCTTGGAAAAGTACACATGTTTCGGTGACCACAAACACATTGAGACGGTAATAAACACAACAAATGAGCATTAACACCGTACAATTTCGCAACACGTGCTTACGGAATAAAGATATAACGTACAAGTTTTAAAAATAAATGCAAATTCGACAAAAAACCTAGAATATTGTGATATTTTATTCGGAGATTTCAGTAGCACTCTTACCATTTTGACTGCTACGAGAAAAAGGAAAATAGTTCCGGTGTGATTTTGCAGTAGAAGTCCGCCGTGTGACAGTGATGTTGTGATAATTTCCCAAAAAATTCAAAATGTACAATACATATCAACATTACTGCACTGAGTCAATATATTTACATATTAAGTGAAATTTACCGATAAATAACAGTTTAATCATGATTTCAAAATAAATGTGCATAAAATCACAGAACTAGCGTAGGGATACACCACTTTACATCTGGCCCCTGTGCTTTATCTTCTGAAACCCATGAGTGTATTTGTTTGAAATAACTTTCCTCGTCTGTATACTAAATTCAGCAGGCACAAATGTACATGTATATCCCGCCCCCACTCCCTATATTTAGGGGGGGGGGGCTATGCTTGTTCCCTCATTTTTTGACCCCCCCCCTATCTAGGGAAAAGAAGAAAATTTAACCCCCCCTTTCACGGGCTTTTCCGATGAATTTCACCCCCTATCTAGGGAACTTTTCAGTCTAGAACTCCTTTTAAACCCCCCTTTTTTGTATATCTCGATATCTCGGGAAGTGTTTTGAAATACACCCCCTATTTTGAGAATCTCGGGAAAACAAGCAAAAAATACCCCCTTTTCTACGATTTTCTCGGGAAAATGTTCCCGAGACAGGTCGTCAAATAGTACCCCCTTTCCCGAGAAAATGGGAACGCGCATGCGGCCCCCTATGGATCCTGAGTGGGGGGGGGGGGATGTATATACACCGTGATATTAGTACGAGTACCATCTACTACGAGCAATATTCACGATTTCGCTGTTCTGTTCTTATGAACAAAGAGGCTAAATTAAATAAATAAGAAAAACGTAAATTCGTAGACATGGAATCAGCTATTTTATTCGTCCGTAATTTATGCGAAGATATTATTTTTTGGAAGCGTATAAATGTCGTAATTCGTACGCAATTTCCAATGTTTGATTCTTAAACACAAATTATCAAATATGTTATAAAAAATTTAAATGAAATTAGGAATTTGCTTTATCTGTAAAGTGTAAAAAAACATTTTTTACTGTAAGTGGAACTTGTAAAAAACGTAAAATGCCCCCAAACAAAAACGCGAGATTATTTTGGACAAATAAGGTTTGACCAAAATATCAAACATATTTGGATAGAAAAAATTATAAGAACATCATTGTGAAAAACGAAATATAGTCGGTAAAAAAATAATTTACACAGTAAACTTGCAGTTAATTACAATATTTTGATTTTTTGAGCAATTCCACTGGATTCACTAACTTGGCAACTGAAAACAAATAAGTTATATTGTCATTCTACGTGTTCACGCGAATTTAATACTTATCAACGAAAATAAGGAAATTAAAAACTTGGGAATACTAGTAATTAATACGTTCACAGTAATTTCACCGAGTTTGCAATTCATAAAAAAATTAAATGCTTATTTATTTATTTATTTATTTATTTATTTATTTATTTATTTATTTATTTATTTATTTATTTACTTATTTACTTATTTATTTATTTATTTATTTATTTATTTATTTATTTATTTATTTATTTATTTATTTATTTATTTATTTATTTATTTATTTATTTATTTATTTATTTAACATATCAGAAACATACGGCATAATAAACGATAAAAAAACGTCTGGATTAATAATATTAGAATTTTGCGAATGAAAAACATTCCACGACAAAATAATCCTTCCTCATTTCCTAATAATCTTCGCTTTTCTTCAAGTTTTCCGAATGTGAACTATGGATATTTGTTCGAAACAGGCTTTATTTTATTTCCTAGTTCAAAAAAAAGAACAATTCCTGTGAATCCTATCCTCGCATCGTGTGGGATGACTACAGGCGAACTGTCGAACGTTTTAAACAATAAGAGCCTAAACATATATCAGATTTTAATCAATTTGGGCATTTATAAACCGTTCATTTATTTTTGTAAGAATCTCAGTCATTGGGTTTATACACATCACCAATGTACGCATTATAGTATTATTTTTCTATCTTATAAAAGTTATTTACAAATCATGTACATGTAATTGGCAACAACAATTTATATGTGGTAAAATAGTTTATACAATAAATTGTGTGTAACCATTGATAGGAACCTTTTATTCTCCGAAATAGTGCGATATTACTACTAACAGTATTTACTTTTTCAAATACGTTGTAACATAAAGTTCTCGTCTACAATTACCTCTAGTGTTAATTTTACAGTTCTGATACAAGTTTTGTCGTGCCACCCACGCAACTTAATTCTTGTTCAGTTAAAATAATGAGTTAAAGTTACTGATATTTAAACACCTTTATTAATATGTTGAAGTAATCATGTTTTAAATGCATATTGATTTATATTTTACGAATACTTCAAAGTTGACTACAAAAACAATGATTTCATTTTACTTTAAGTCAGCCTCGCATCGTGATCCGACCATGGCATGAATGGTGAACTAACTTATTAAAACATGTTAACATTTGTTAAGCGTTACCTACATTACCCGAACAATCTATGTCACAAATAACTTAATGTATCGATTCAGTAGTTAAACATAGAATTTTAATATTGCAATATTTGTTGGTTTGATTTTATGTCTGTAACTTTTGTCTCAATGATGGCTTTAAGAGGAATTTGTATGTATAAGGCCCTATGGTGTAATGGTTAGCACTCTGGACTTTGAATCCAGCGATCCGAGTTCAAATCTCGGTAGGACCTATCTGCTTTTGTCTCGTGTCCCATCTTTGTTTTGTTTGATTTGTGACAGTGCACGAGAATGTGTCTTGGGGAACATTCCCTTCATTAACAGTGTTTCAAAGTTAAAACTCACATTATGTAAAACATATTAAGTAATTTTGCAAGAGATGACAATCTTGTTGTGATCGCATTGACTTGTATATTTTGACACCATCATTGACTCCTGTGAAGCTCACAATTGGAGTCTTCGCAATTAGCGTGTATGTATGTCGTATGTATGTGTATGTCTGTTCCACTGATATCTCAAGAACCATATGTGTTTTTTTTATGAAACTTGATACATAGATAATTGTCAGATCTTATTAGGTTTTGGGTTGAATGCACCTAATGTGCACGATAATTAGCTAATTGTTAGCTGTTCCATGTATGTTCCACTGACATCTAAAAAAACAATCATTGAATTTGTATGAAACTTGGTACTTTGGACAATGAGCAGACCTGATGATTTTAGCACTGTTAATAGTAACCGTGGTTTTAGGTAAAAATCCATGCATATTATTTACCTAATTTGTATAACGATTAGTAAATTTTTAGTACTAAAGTACCAATCATCACATTACAATGAAACTTAGTACATATATGTCATAGAGCAATGCACAGACGTGATAAGTTTTGGGTTAATATCCGTGCGCTTTGATTACCTAATTTACATAAATAGTAAATTTTTGGCTTTTCCACTGCTATCTCAATTATTAATCATTGATGATCGTCACATTTTAATGGAACTTGGTACCTGTTTAGTTTTGATTTAAACCTGTTCATATTAATACCAATTTTGCATAATAAGCCATAAATTGTTGCCTTTTCCACCGATATCTCAAGTTCTAAACACATTTCATTGAAACTTGATACATTGATGGTCTGTGACATTGTTGAAATCCACGCATAATAATTGCTCAATTTTATGCGTGGAAACAATGCATTTAGTTTTAAGTTGAAATTCAAGTATGCTACTAGGAATAATTTCCGAATTTGCACATTGTGCATAATCATCGCATTTCATTAAAATTTGGTTGTTGCAAAAATAGATAAACGGATAAATTCTTTTGGATTATTACAGTATTAGAAGAGTGAGATGGTCCTATAATTTATAACAGATTATGTGCCACTTCTTCTAAACACTGAAACCACATCAGCCTGTTCCCAAAAAGTTGGAACACACTGCCTTTTAGTGACGTGTTGAAGAGGTAAGCAAAAGAGGGCGCTATTACTCATGCGAGCATCCTTTTAAAATTCCATCGGGGCAATCACGTTTTGAGCAGGTGCAGCTAAATAACCAAGTACTGCATTCAAAATGAGGGATATATCCGGAAAAGAGTCATTGTGCACATTTATATTAAATACTGAATGAAAATTATTGCCTTAATTTTCTTGTCTCGTTTTCAACAAGTCCCATGTCTGTCAGTATAATTAGCAGATATTTACTTACAGATCAGAACTTGTTTTTGCCAATTAAACGTTTCTCAAGCAATTTATCAATATAGCAGAGGCAGCGCCACGAAATTTCGCATGGGCGAGATCCGCTCATCATCTCTTGCGTCTCATAGGCACAAGTGGTCGCACATTTTTTCGGGGATACCCCCCCCCCCCCCCCCGTGCCGCCGCCACTGTGTTGGACGATCCCGGAAAAGTCTTAAATTTTTTTTTTTTAATATTTTGCTCTCTGAGTTAGAGTTAGTATAATCCGAGAAGACGATACGTAGTACCCTTTTATTCACATTTGCCAGTGTATCTAAGTTGTCACATTATTGCATATATTACATGTACATTGCTGAAAACCCTGGGCTCCTGAAGCGTGTCAGAACAAACACACTATCAACGTAGCGGGCGATAGTGTGTATGCTAGTACATTTTGTATATGATGATAGAAAGATGAAACTGATACATTACTCAATACTATAACAGAGTTCATGTTAACTTCAGCCAATATACTGTCGTAGCTAATTCAGCAAAAGGTATATTTAAAATGTAATGAGCTGACATGTTATGCATTCAGTTAAATTAGGATACAATGTTGTTATGGGGTGTTTTATTCCTGGGTATACACCCATTTATCCGGTTAACATTATTG